GCTAACCCATCCTCCCACCCCCCTCCCCTCTAGGACCCTCAGTTTGTTTTCCAGAGTCCATCGTCTCTCATGGTTCGTCTCCCCCTCCGATTTCCCCCCGTTCATTCTTACCTTGCCATCCTCTCCTCACCGCTTTCTCCCCTGGAATTCTGTGCTAGACCCTCCAACAAAGCACAAAGCACACGACGATATTTACTGGTCATGTACTACATGCAAACACGGTCCAAGACAGGGGGCAATGCAAATATAAATTGGGCACCATGTTTCATTAATTCTTTTTTAAAAAGATTTTATTTATTTATTTGACAGAGAGAGACACAGTGAGAGAGGGAACACAAGCAGGGGGGTGGGAGAAGGAGAAGCAGGCTCCCCACTGAGCAAGGAGCCTGATGCGGGGCTCGATCCCAGGACCCTGAGATCATGACCTGAGCCGAAGGCAGACGCTTAACGACTGAGCCACCCAGGTGCCCCTCATGTTTCACTCATTCTAAGTAGCACTTAAAAGACAATGTCAGCATCTCCGAAATCAGGGTATGTTGTCTACTGGCAGGTTCTTTTCTTTCTTAGAGATGTATAAAAATAATGATGCATCTTAGGCTTGTGAAGATGCAGTAGTTTCTCCTCTCCAGGAGCTTACAGTGTTTCTTCTGGTTAAGAGTTGGGGAAAAAAGGCTGGGCGGGGGCCGGCTGCAGAGAGAGAGAGAGAGAGAGAGAGAGCGTGCGCGAGAGCTGGTCCCCACCAATAGCGCACATTACAGTAAGCGCTAAATGTGAGCAGGGGAAGGAGGACTTAGTCCTAACTGGGAGCCGCAGAGGGTTTTCTCTGAGAAGGGAGAATCCGAACTAGATCCTGAAGGGTGAGTGGCATTTTAACAGGTAGAGAAAAGGTGGAAAGTCACTTGACCCTCAGGGTACAGAGAAACAGAGGCAGGATTTGCAGAGGGGCAGCGAGGTTTGAACCGCCCACTGTAAGGGAGTGGTTGCAGGGGGACTGACCTTCATCGCGGGGGGGCTCTAAATACTTCCTGACTCCTCGTAACCAGCAGCTGCCCCAAGTCACCAAGGGCATGCCTGACCTTGGGCTGCCCCTCCATCCTCCAGGAGCCCAACCATCTCCCCAGACCAGCTACTGAAGGGTTAATGCAGGCTCAGCCCTGAGCCTCCTTGTCCTTTCAAAGGCTGGTTGGTGCCTGGCCTTCCAGGCAGTTAGGAGGGGAACTGCTCTGGGGGCTGATGAAGCAGGAAAAACCACCAGAGGCAGATCAGAGAATGACGAACAGGAGCTGTGGGCCAGGACAGAGGTCACCAAACCTTTGACACTGTGCACCTCCACGTCTGAGCATGCACCCCAACGGCTGTGCGTTGATTCATACATGTAAACAGTTATCACCGCTCTCCTGTGTAAAATCTAAAACGGATGCAAAAATAGAAGCTAAAAAATAAGATAAAAACAATTAGGAATCAAAGCTAGAGCATTTTCTGACCACACTACAGAGACTCATCTCGGACCCCTCCACACACACACCGGATGAGTGCACCCCACTTGCCATGGCGCTCGCTGTCTAGACAGTGAAGGAGCTGAGGCTGGACAGTGAATTTAGCTTTTCATTATAAAGAGGCAGAAGGAACTCAAGAGAGCAAATGGCCATAGAAGACATGACCAAGAAGTAGGTCTGGAAACACTGGAAGTATTTTAAAAGCTTACGACAATGCCTTGTCCCGTATCCATTGGTAAGCTATTATTGGGTCTTTCTCCCTGTCCTGGTGTAGGTACTCTACTCACCAAGGTGGTGGAGCTTTGGATGTGGTGAGAAACAACAGGGAAGCCACAGCGAGGGGAACTGGGTTTTGGGAGCCCCAAGGAAGAGCAGCAGACGGTGGGAACCCAACCTCCTGAGGAATGAGAGGGGGACCTTGGCCGGGTTGGAGCAGAGCATGTGGGCAACTGCAGGGCCTGAGCAGGACCTGGCCTGCCCTTGTCCACTGTGGCTGGGGCACCAACGTGGGCTCTGAGTAGACATCAGTGGCCTGTGATGTCTCTCTGCTCCTTCCAAAAACTCTGGGAAGGGAACAAAGACCACGGTTGCCCAGAATTGTCTGCCAACATCATCTCTTCCCCATGTCCACATGAGGGGAAGTGGACGCCTGCTACAGGAGGTGGAAAAGAGTCAGAGTTACCAGGGTCAGGATGAGGACACAGAGTTAGACCCCTCATCACCCTCCAACTCAGAGTTGCCTTGGACCCAACAGAAGAGATCCCCAGTGGAGGGACGCAGTCAGCCAGTGGGACAAGTACAGGTGGCCTCTGGGTTGATCTAACTGAATGATCAGACCACAGATATTCATTAAGGGCCTGAGCATGCCCATTTCAGAAAACAGGGCTCCTTCCCCACAAGCAGCTAACGTTGAATGAACATTTACAAGATGGCGGCCACTGGGCTAACAACTTCACCTATTCACTCATTTATTCCTTATGCT